TGTTATTTCAATTTCAAACTGGTTGAAACCGGTTTTGATTTAATCGGTTTTGATGTAATGTATATGCATCTAAAGTTTTGATGACTTGTACTTTTGATACAAAATTAACGTTGTATTGTGACGTCAAAGTAAAATTCTCTATTTTTACAATAGATCATAATATATAGGTGATTTTCATGATTATTAGAATTGGGTACCCCAAAAATAATACAGCTTGCAGACAGGATGAAGGATGGTATCTATTATTTTGTTACAGACAGTAGAGGATCATTTGCAGTTGTCTTTCGCTTACGTGTTGAAGCATAGGAAGCTGAGGAGGGAAGACGCCATGACACCTGACTCAAGGAATGATATACTAAGATATTATCCTCCACAATTCGACTTAGGTCAGTACCACAAATATTTTCTTACTACATTACTAACTTATCACGCGAATAATTTTAGCTTGTTTACATTGTAATTTTTTTTAAAAAAGTCGTTTATTTTACTCGTATGAAGATTGAAATTATTAAAAACGGGTAGTTTTCTAGTTAGAAATCTACCCGTTTTTATTAAGTTTACTTTTTCTTATCCGGAAATAATAGATTTTGAACAATGGCTTATATCTGCTTGTAGAAGCAAAGTCAAGGCTGGGTCACTCTGTACTGTGTCACAAGCTAGCTAGACTACAGAATCAAGCGAAAATCTAATTTTCTTCAGTTTAATTACTATATTGCCAGTATACTTTTGATTCAAGTGTACATGACGTGGTATAGGAAATGTTGTTAATAATATTTTAAGTACCCAAAGAGAAATATCAGTATTAATTTCTCATCACATTTGTCTGTTACAGAACCAAATTTAAAAAAGAAAAAGAGAAAGGTGTATGAACAACGTGCAAATGAAGCAAATCCGTTTAGGTGCCCAATCAAACTTTTTGAATTCTATATTTCTAAATGGTATGTTGTATTTTTTCTTCAATCACGTTTCTGAAAGAATATGTATAGTATCACTGTTATGCCTCTTAACGTAATATTATTAATGATGGTATATTTTCCAATAGTCCCGAGTCGGTGCGCACGCGCAACGACGTGTTTTACTTACAACCGGAGAGATCCTGTGTACCAGACTCCCCAGTATGGTACTCTACGCAAGCGTTGAGCAGACAAGCGCTGGCAAAGATGCTGCATCGCGTCAAGATGGTTAAGGAGATAAACATCGCGTTACTCACCAGCTAAGGTAAGCGTTGTAGCGAGTAAGCTGCGCTGCTGCCAAGTGAGAGTCTATGCATTTTGTCTAAGCACTGAAATATTGTTGCAGATTACATCGCCAGTCTGCACACGGCTTGGAAACTAATGCAGCGATGCGGTACAAGTTACTGGCACACTCCTACAGATACAGACTACGTTCATCGGAGTACCGCGCGAGTGGGCTACAGGTGGCTCTTGCAACGTATCTTTGACGTCAACCGATCGCTTATGAAATCGGTTATATTTCGGAATTGTGTGATACATTCTCATTAAAATAATTATTGGCGACTTGGGTTGTATGTTCCTCAGTGCCAGGATATAAAGATTTTATGTTTGCCCATGTGTAAAATTTGAATATAAGATAGAAATAAGTTGTAAACAATTCTAAGGTTTTTAATTGTTAAACAATTAAATGTATATAATTATACACTACTATGTAATAATAATACCAATTCAATTTTATAAATTGAGAAAATTATAATAATATCTTAATAAGTCCGAATGATTACCATTTGAACTAGATCTCAGAACAATACCTCAGACATGTTTATTGAAAATAATTATAGAGTTATGATTCGTCTTATTTTACGCGTTATCAGTGTCTGACCAACGGCTATGTATGTTGGCGAAAGTTTGAGCTTTTAACTCTGTGTAAAAAATAATACTGATACTTCTCTCCCACTGAGTGTTTTACTTCTTAAATAGCATAAACCCCTTTAGGCTTATCACTCTGTCTCCTGCAGTAATTCACCGATGGAAGTGGAAACTATAGTTGTTTTTCTTCTCCTCCTATAATATTTTCTGATTCACTTCGTTGTGGGGACCAAGACAGTTATGTCCCTGGGACGCACCGGACTTCAGTGGTCCGGTTTTTTCATGGTTATATCTACTGTAGATCCTGGCTTACAGGAGTTGCAGCGGCTGTGGGAGGTTGGCGAGCTTGTCCTATTTAAAAAAAATACCCATGAAGTTGTGTAGTTAGTAGTAGAACTGAGAAGATGATATGTCTTTCCAATTTTACTTTTCGACACTATCTCTGTCCGTTTTTTAGTCCTTTCTTCCAAGAGAATTTTTTTATATTACCTATACTACATTTCACAAAAAAGATGCCAGTCCCAGCTTCTTCTTATCTCCAGACACAAAAATCATACCATAAAAATTCCAAGGGAGATGCGTGGCGCTGGCGTTCACGGCGCGATGTGTGGAGTGTAATCGAGCGCTGCCCGGCCTGAAACTATGATAACATACCTGGGCTAGGTATATTTTTCACTTTTTAGCACACTTGTTATTCAAGGGAAATGGTGGCTAATTATTTCTACCTATTATAGCTACTGGTTAACCGAAGGCAAAAGTATAAAAAGTACCGGAGGTCGCCATCAAAATTCAGCTCTACTCTATTGGACTTATTTTAGCAACGTAAGGTAGGTAGCTGTTATTACTGATGGCCATTCTGACCGATATGTAGGCAACCACCATACCACTAATGCACAATAATAATATCTAAAAGCTTGAAAATTATCATTGTCATTAGCCACAGCTATTTCGCATAACAGGCTGGTATTCGTTTCAAAGGAAAGCGGTTGCTTTCCACCAGGTGGGCCGTGTGTGTCCTTTTTGCCACGTGGTATATAAAAAGTAAAAAACATCATAATTGGTCTACGAATTTATGTAAAAGCCGGGAACCTATTAGAAACTAGACGATCAGTAAATCTGTACAATATCTTTTTTATAGCAATACTTACAGGGTGATAGAGAAACTAATAGAGAACGAGTATCTATATACATTATCATTATTTGAAAAAAATTGTATGTTTGTTTGCACACAGTAATATCCGGAACTAACGAACGGATTGAGTATGAATGAAGCTTGTATAGCTATAATGCTAATAGGCCTAGGCCTAAAATAATAAATAGAGGGTATAATTAGGTTTGGAACAAAATCTACCTGTTTCTTTTTTTTTTTGAGTGAAAAAATTATCCAATTATTTCTCCCGCCTTGAGTAAAGTGGGTGTTTTGTGTGTTTGAGTGGGTTTTTTATTGACTAAAAACCGCCCCGTTCGTAGTTCCTACTCCTGCTTTGAGTCGGTCGGAGCCCCGGAAAATGGTCCTTTAGGTTGTCCGCAGAAAAAAATCCACCTGAAGTCAATATTCTACACAGACGGAGTTGCGGTCAGAAACTAGTAAGTATTATAGGTAATAAAATTGTTGCTGGATATTAATAATTTTCTACCATTATCTTCCCCTCGATTCTTTTTTTTTATTCTAGTAAGATAAGTAAACTGCGAACTCACAAAGTCACAATCTGTACAAAAAACTAAAAAAGTCCTCCGTACTGCGAAATGCTGGCACATCAAAGCCTGTACAGTACTATTGAAATCTTTTTATAACAAAAGTAAAATTTATGATTACTTTTCATTGTAAAATATGTTTTTTATTTTTTTTCTATTTTTTTACAATCTCTCCGTATTATTTAATTCCGATTGACAGGTTTGTTATCAAATAAATATTGTAACCATGAGCTTCCAATCACCAAAATCTTCAATGAAACCTCGTATTTGCCAACCAAACAAATTTAAATGTAATAGCGGCAGTATGGTGAACTAATACGATCTCTCTTTCTAACAAACTACGAAAGCATGTGACTAAAAAGAGACAGTAAGAAATCAGCCAGTGACGTTATTTACTAGTCAAGCTATTATTATGTGTGTAGAGAAAGAAATAAATTATCAAGTGTTTTAAAATTTCTTTTCAATATATCTTTTAACAGATCGATATTTTATGTGACGCAGTTTTACTATATTTTATACAACAGCAAATCAATACAGTTAGCTCAAACTGCATTGCAAAGTATTTGTTTATCAAAATAGGTAAACAACAGCCGAAAAAACTAGATGATTTGAGTGTACCTCGATCGCCATTACTATAGGCATTATTAAATTAACGGTGCAAAGTGTGTGACTGTGTCAATGCGTAATTCGTGTAGGAGTATCCATTCTTGAAGGTTTGCTTATTTATTTGTAAAAAGAACATAATTTTCTTTCAATTTTGGCGGGAGTCCTGGCACGTTGTATCGTGGTTGTCGAATGGCGATCTGTCACCTGTCGCCTCCTGGCTTCATCGACGCAGATATAAGTTCATGTTTCAGTGGTTCTCAGTAAAATTAGCAGTGCAATAGTGAAATTCCTGGTGTGCAATCCATGTGGACATTCGACGATGCGTCGCGATTAGGCGGGTCGGATATGGATAGTAGGCGAGCGTGCCCAAGCTACGAAGCCGGGTTAGACGTGTGCGATCCCTTAGGATCAGTCCTGGATTGGTCTGGTCGGGAACCAGCCCGCATACTACGGCGTCGGTGCCGCAGTGAGGGTATAGACCGTTCGCCTTACGAGGATGTAAGTCGCGAGGTGAACCGCTCCGCGGATGGTAACTGTCGATATCATCGAGCCCAGCCCAACAAGAGCCATTTCACGCTGAATAACAGCGAGCCACAATACGCGGCTGCACGGTTTCGTCACGAGTGCTCGCTGCCAGCTGCCGAGAACGGCGACTACGTCATGGCCCACGAGCGGGACAGGTTCCATGGGTGAGCTCATATAAACATAACCTAAACACTTGTAGTGCTTTGACACTGCTTGGTTATCTAACCTTATGTCAACACAGATGTGTTCTGAACCGCACGGGCTATGCTTGATGTCCTTAATGTTTTCCTCCTAAATTATTTATTCTCAGTGTGAATGCTCATATAACTATTTAGAAACTATTGTATATCAGTAACACTAGGTTTTTCTTTATAGTTACCAGCCAGGAAGATCAAAATTATACCGAAAAAGTCCTACCAGACCATTATTAGTAACAACACTATCCAATACTAAAGTTGATGATCGTTTACCAAAAGTTGAAGAACTATTAGAAAAAGTTGATCAAGACATGATGGAAGTGCAGGCGACAAAACAGCCTTTAAAATCAATACTCAATAACCCCTTACCTAATTCACCACTTCATGGTATTCTGAAGAAACCTAAAAACAGACCACAGCCAGATTCTAAATGTACCTTAGAAGGACGCAGAAGACAAAGAGCGGCTAGCGAATCAGACAATTTGTTCAGCAGTTTTAATAGTATTGGATCTCCAATACCAGGCTATGATAAGTAAGTTGTTATTTTTATCTGTTATCAGCATTGTGGGAACCAAAGTTATCAGTTAGGAAATAGCAATTGATTAATTTAATAACATCATTTTGCATGTAATGGAATACTTGAAAGTTCAATTTAGTGAATAGATTTGTATTACACAATATTATTAGTTCCCTTTGTGCATGTTGAAATGCCATTTATTAGTGATAAATGTGTTAAGCGTAATACTAGTTGTGATATTACTGGGATTATTAGGTAATATTAATAACGGTTTCTGGTAATGTAATTCCAATTTATTGTAATTTTACAATGAGGAAGTTTGTGTACATTTTAAGCAGATTGTGTTGTTTTTTTAGGTTATACACATGGTTTTATTTATGTGTATGTATTCAATGACAGAAGCAAACAATGAGTAGCGATAACATGCAAAAAGTATTGAATTAAATAGGCTTCATAGCTTTCCTTCAATGTGTTCTGAGTGTAGCTAGGATTTAGGCAAGTAAAGGTAATGCGACTGTGTAGGTGTTAATTATAATCATATGAAATATGTTGGTATTTGTACTAATTTAAGTGTATTTTTAAATATTTTAAGTCTGGCCTTAATATGACATTTTGGGCAAATATTTGTTAAAATCTTTCTACTTTTATCTTACTAGGAAGTTGACACTTTAAAATTATCTCGATTAATTCTTGCATTTAGTATGTAAGTGACCTCTCTGTATTCTGTAGGTTCTCAAAAACAATAACAACCTATTTATTTATGGTAATCATTATCACCTAATAGCTACATGAATGATTTCTATATCGGCCAATTATGGGGATAACAACCTTGTATTTATAAGTTCATTACTTCTCACTCCGAGTAGGGGAGGAGAGTTATATTTTTAGATATTTACACCCACTCAAGCTTGGGTGGATAACTAGGTCAGTATGTTAAAGGGATTAAAGTGTTGTATACCTTTATGCAAGCTATATACTAGAGACATAATAATATAGCATTTTAATACTACTTTCTTTGCAAAAAATGTTATTTGATAAAGACATATAGTATTGATTTTATAAATACTTAGTCAAAATCATTTATTCAAATCATTTATTTCAATTAGACCAGGAAGGCACTTTTGACTGTCAAAACTTATAAATTCTTTCTTACAAATATTCAATATTCTTCGGTTTGTGTGATGTCTCACATCTGTCTCACATGTGAGGTTTCGCTTATTACCAATTTTTTTTATAAAATATCCAATTAACCCATAAATCCCCAAGCGGTCACCGGTGACCGCTTTCCACTAATATTACATTACATTATAGACCTTATTTTTAATGTTTAGAGACTACTTTTGTATCACCAAATTTAGGGGATGGATTTCAACGGGTTAACATGATTGTTATATTTCATAAGTAATTAAATATTCATAGCAGTAAAAGTTATTCTCGCGTTATATGGTCTAGTGACGCACACACTGAAAAATGATACTTATTTATGAGTAGCGACCCGCCCCAGCTTCGCACGGGTGCAATATGCATGTATTATACATATAAACCTTCCTTATGTCTCACTCTATCTAGTAAAAAACCGCATCAAAATCGGTTGCATAGTTTTAAAGATCTAAGCATACATATAGACAGACAGACGGCCGATAGTGACTTTGTTTTATATTATGTAGTGATAGTGATATAAATAAGATATAATATTATAGGCTGTACCTAAATGAAATAGTAGTAGGTATCAAACCCTACAAATATTGTGGAATGTTACCTATAATAGAATATAATAGTTATATTTAGAGACCTGATAAAATTATGATAATATTTATTGAATGAATAACTCATTTAAATTGTGTCAGTTTGCTTCTTCAAGTTAGTGTCATCATCAGATCATCATCTACCTAATATAGTAAAATATCAGATCATGAGATGATATATTCTCCCTTTTTACCTGACTAGGATGGGTATTGTTATGTATATGTACTTTAATTACGTACAGACCCCCACTAAAGTATTTAAATTTTTTCATACATACATAACTTCACGCCTGTCTCCCATGGGGGTAGGCAGAGACTAGGGAACGCCAATTACTACGATTCCTACATACCTCTTTTGCTTCATCAACAGTCATCAATCTTTTCATATATGGTCGTCGGTTAAGGGTACTTATAATTTGGGCTTTCTTTACTATATCGCCAATCTGGTCACTATAATATGTCCGTCTAATTATTATTACTATTTAATTTTGTATTTTGAATTTAGTTCAAAATAATAATGCTATAAAAGTTTAAGATCTAGAAGTTGGTTCATTCTACAGCTCTATGTACAATGTCTTGACAACTTCACCATTACATAGAGTTATTTAAAGGTGGAAAGTGAGTTAATCAATCATATACATAGTTGTTTCGTACATAGATAGCAATCTATATCACTACAAATTATACCTCCCAGATAGTGAGACTGATATTTTGTCTATGACCTTGACATCTTGATAAACGGGCGAGACAAGTTTGTATTGTATGCCGATATGACACGTGCAGCACGTGATAGTATAATATATATTTTTTTTTGTTTTCATTTGTTGGTATCTTTATCTACTAGAAGTTTAAATACCTTAAAGTGTTTAGTATAGAGATGGTTTAGGAAACAGGGAAATAATCATTATGGTCTCAATCTCAGATATGCATTGTGTTCTTAAGCTTGAAAGCTCTACCAGTCCTATCTCTCCAATCAAACACCCACAGATTAATATTTTATAACAGAATTTTAATTTCCATTATGATGTGTATTATTTCTGTTACTAAAATGTATATTCTTTTGTTTCTAGCCGTTTATCATACCTCTCGACGAACACGAAACGCGCCAAAGACAATTCGGGTATCGGTTATTCTTATGGATCAGCGATCGCTAGTCTCGGTAGTGGGACAACAGTCAAAAGTCCTACCAGGAGCTCTAGTGGGTCGAAACAATCCCGTGTACGTAAAGATCATATGGTGATGAAGGACGACCATGATATGCATTTATTGAGAACCACGGCTATCAACGAAACTGTTCGTCTTGATTCTAGAATGGATATGGTAAGTAAAATTAATTAATGTTTTTTATAGGATAAGCCGGTAACCTAACAGACGGATTACCTGATGGTAAGGAATCGGCACCGCCCAATAACATCGGAAACACCAGAGGATTTATATTTAGTATTATCTGTTAAAGCAGGCTGATGGCGTTGATCTGTTAAACTTATAAAACTTTAAATTTCTAAATTCGAGAAATATAATACTTTTTTGATTAAGAAAAGATTAAAGCTTTTGCTTGTGGTACTTGCAACTGGCAGGCAAGTCAGAAAAGGAATTTAGCAATGGCAATAGATGAAAAGAAGGTGTGAATGATGGAATGAGGCCTGGTTGGGGAGAATAGAAATGAAAGTCATGTTGCACCAATCCCAAGTAACTTAGGTCAAGGGCAAGGTGTGTAGGGAAAAGCAGGTTGCTTATAATGGGAAATGGAAATATATGGGCTAACGAAACTTTCAAAGCGTTGCTGGATGACAATGAAAATAAAGTAGTGGAACATTTTTGTTAAAGATATAGGTTGACTAGGTAGGTACTTACATCTTTCAACATATTATTTAACCGACTTCAAAAACAAAAAAACAGAGTTAGGCATCTTGACCTGTATGTATGTATGTTTGTGCGCGATTATCTCGCAATTGACTAAACCGATTTTGATGCGGTTTTCAGAAAAGTGTTTGTTACACTTAGGAGAAGGTTTTAGTATAATAATTAATAGACTTCAATAAAAGGGGGGTATATTATCGGTTTTTTTAAACGTATTTTATAAATCAATTATTTTAACAAGGTGAACTTTATATCTTGTTATGTTATTCTCTATTAGGCAATTTCGTTGTAAACCATAATTTTGTATTAAAAAATATGTTGTCATGTGATATGTACTGACGTTGTACGCGATGCGCTTCGCTAGCGCAGTGCGTCTACTTATAAGTCTTATCGTCTATGACGTCTGCGCATCGTAGGCGTGGTTGCGTATGCGCAGTTTTCTTTCTTATAAGTGTTATTTTTTTACCCATTTTACGTTTTGAGATACAAAATTTAATTGTAGCAAATAACATGCAATTATCGCATGTAGTTATGATGATATTTTAGACGTAAACGCGAAAATGTAATAAATTAAACATGAATTCGTTAGTTAGAATTTACTGAAACAGGTATATTGGCTGTAGTTTTCAGTTTTGCGTACGTCAAGCAACAAATCATTTTCCAATGAGTAGGTCGGTAACTTCTTGCATTCAGGATTAGAATCTAATTGTTACTACAGCCTTGGCCAAAAGTATTAGGCACCCCCAATAAAGGTCCCATGCACACGTGCTATTTAAACAATTAGTTGATATTCTTTTGAAAGATGATCTCGGTGTCATAAACCGCTATTTAAGATATTGGGCGGCAATATTTGAGTGGTTGTATAACATCTGGTGCATCAATAACGAAATATTATTTTTTTACAAAACTTACGTTTAATGTCTGATCAGTCTGTATTTCGAAGTCTTCGCTTAAAGACAGAACATTTGCAGTTTTTTGATTAAATAGAGAACAAATTTATTTAGAAATGCTAAAGAGAAACGAAATTAGTCTTAAAATCGTGTGTAAGTCAAACTTTTACATTAGCAAGGAGAGACCCAGAAAGAAATTGCGAAGTTGTTAAAATATTCGCGATGCGCAGTTCAATCTTCTATTAAACGTTTTGCTGGGACCGGTACTGATGCGAATAAAACAAAAACAGGCAGAAATAGCGTGACTGCTAGCTACCAGGACAGGAAACATAACTGCGAGCGTATCAAAGACCGTAAAAAAAATACTTTGGAGCTTGCTGCAGCTTTATCTGAAGAGACTGGTAAACGCATAAGCGCTCGGATTGCAAGACGAAGGCTAATAGAAGCAGTTTTAAAAGGTTACAAACCCAGAAAGAAGCCGTGGCTTACAGTAGAGAACAAAAGAAAATGTCTTGGTTGGGCTCTGAGACACCAACATTTCACAGAGGAGGATTGTTCAAATGTACAATGGTCGACGAATCAAACTTTGAGGTAAGTTTTATTAATTGAGTCTATAACACAATTGCAACGATTATTATTGCATTAGTCTTCAAACTCAAATGTTATAAATGTTTGTATTGTGTCAATTTTGTTTTATCATTTCAGGTATTTGGAACACCAGGTGTGACGTTTGTGAGCCGACGCAGAGGCGAAGAATATCACTCAGATTGCGTAGTCCCAACCATAAACCACGGCAGAAGCCTCGTAATGATTTGGGGCTGCATGGCTGTGAATGAAGTCGGCATAATGTGCATTTACGAAGGTCACATGAACAGTGCAAAATTCATAAATGTATTAGAAAGTGCTGTTATACCTTCATTTTCGTGTATTTTTGGTGACACTAATTTACACGGTGTTAAATTTCATCAGGAAAACGCGCCTTGTCATAATTCAGCGACACATTACACAGGTTTACTGACAAATGTATTGACCTGTTAGTTTGGCCTGCCCAGTTCCCGGATCTAAATCCAATTGAACATTTGGGGGGTATTTTAAAGAAAGAAATCAAAATATATTCCACAACATCAAAAACTGCATTAAAATGCGCCTTACTTCACGAATGGGAAGCAATTTCTCAAGAGGAATGCGTAAACCTTGTACACAGTATGCCTCACAGAGTAGCTGCTGTGATAAATTTACAGGGTGGTCCAACAAAATATTAATGTTTTTGTATGTTTGTAATAGAAATAAAGTTAATTAATCAACAAAAGTAGTTTTGTTTCTCTATAAATCAAAAATATGCAATAATTCATAGGGTGCCTAATACTTTTGGCCAAGGCTGTATGCTCTAGTAATTATAAATGCATGCTCTTTGCGTCATTTATATTATTAGGTCTTTTTTGTCAATGTATAGAAGCTACAATTATTGTACCTACCTGGTCACCCTCTATTATAACATGGGATTGCAATGCAGCTGTTGCACACACCTGCCTACCCTTTCAGGGACTTTAGATTGTATGTAATTAAAATACACTCTCCTCGATTCACAAATAGTGGTGTTTTGCAATTGCATACATTTTCAGTAGCATTTTTAGAAATGTCCTCTGTATGGTTCATAGCTTACTATACGGGACTCTAAGTTCACAAGCCACATCTACTTACACCATGAATGAGTATGAGGCATGTGAATCAAGTAAATGCTATGCACCACTTTTATTCGTTCGTGTGGTATATTTCGACCGTACCTAATTATTACAAACCCCGAAATAGAGAAGTACCTGATGCTCTCCTCCATCCCCTATCCCTCAAACTCCTTTGGAGCCGCAGAGAACCTAACAGGTTACCGGGGCTCCGGCTCGCAGTGCAGGAGTAGGAACGGGGTGGTTGTTAGTCAATAAGAGTCTGACACTCTTACTTCTCCCGCCTGGGTATTCGATAATTTTCCCTCCTTAAAAAAAATCCCTCATAACCGAGCTCCTATCAAGAAATCTTTAAATTTCCAGTCCCTAAAAAACTGGCAACGCTCTTATAACTCCTCTATGTCCATCCATGGGCGGAACCAATTGCTAATCAGTACATAGAGTATGTGTTTTTTTTTTATTTCGTACCATTCCGTGCGTCTGGTCGTTTGTAGTATTCTACGTCAACGATATACGTGATGTCGTAATATGACGTAAAAGAAACTATTTCCTTGCTCACGTATCCGTCATCACTATTCAAAATCTATTCATATTCGTCTTAAAGCGATTATTCAAGTCTCAGGATTGTTTATTTCTCATTCATGAGTCATGTTTATTTATTTATTTATTTATTAAAGGCACATCAACAGTATACATATTATACACTAGCCATAATACAGTTGAATACAAAATTAAAAAATTCTGATATGCATACCAGTGACAGATGTACACAACACTCACGGGATCATAAATTCCATGTACAATTATATTAGTAAAGACAAAAAAAAAAAAACGAAGCAAACAAAAATAAAATAACAATAATAATTAAAAGCAATCTAATAATACTACTTAAATGTTTTAACTACTTTATTCCTAAACACGTGAAGCGAATCGTGAAAGATGTCCAAGTCATCCGAGTCCCCGCAACAGTCGTTATATTCTGAGCATATTCGTCGTAGTGGTGAGTTTTGTGCTACATTAGTGCGACAAAGAGGAACACGAAACGTTCGAGTCACAGGATGTCTCGGGACTCTTCGTGGTACCGAGAGGGTGATGCAATTAACAAGTTCATTGTTTCAAATTCCTTCGTGTTATAAATGTACTAGTACTTGCCCTGTGGGTTTACTTGCGTGGATTTGAGCAACTACTTTAGCTAGTAATAAATCGATGAATAATTTTTAAGGTAGCTTTGTTGGCGGGTTGGTTAAACTTGCGATGCATGGGATGTTTGAACATAGTCATATTTTACATAGTTTATTGTGTTCTAAACAAACATACATTTCAACTTTAATGTTAGTGTAGAAGCGTTTGTTTTAGCATTAGCACGTGTTTTTAATCCCATATTAATTTTGAATTTCTGTTGGAATTGTGTCAAAGGCGTGTTCTCAAATATTCCGTGGTTCATTGCGGAAATAGAATGTTTTTGTTGTATAATCGCCAGGTGATAATTTGTGAATTTAATCGTGAACCACTGAGAGATTTTATGAAATAGTTTGTGTGGGTATAGTGCTGTGTTCTTAGAACTTATTTAATCATAGTGTGGTCGTGATGTATTCCTACCGGTGTCGTCGAAATTCTCGCCCCTAATTGCATGGAAATTACAACGTAACAGGTGGAGTACGGGATATTTTCAAACGATATTTGGACACAGTTCAAATTCCAGTACGTACGGTTACACAAACTCCTAAAATATTCGTTAAACTTGACTCACAATTTATAACATCATCGTAAAATAAACCAAACATTACCAGCACGCTCACTAATAAACCATACAGAAACCATAACGCTGTCATCCTTTACCATAACTTTCATGTAAAACAATGAAAATAATTCGGATATCTTAATTATAATCTGCCGACAATAAAATTACTTTGCGACCGAAGAATCGCACTGAAAAGAAAATTTATTAACAAAAAAAACGTCTGTTTACACTGGTCTCACTTTTATCACAGATTTTCGCGGAAGTTGTGGAATTTTTCTCTTCACCGTGGTTATTTTCGATGATATGACCAAGTTAATTATTTTTCTTTTATGAATGTGACGTGTTCGCGGTTCGTGTTATGCAAGACGCAGCCAAGCCGTGTGTCATGCAACGAACTTTGTGACGGCATCGCAGTGGCTATCGGCTAGTCTGTGACGTAGTTTCGTTGTAGGAACGCGTATTTTGGGAGGTATGGGTTTCCTAAATAAAGTTTGGAAGAAGTTTTCTCAGAATGTAAGTGATTCAATTAAACTCTTAGTGTTTTGCCAATGAAATATTTAATTGAAATTTGTTTTTATTGGACCAAAATTTTTGTATCTCTGTACTCGGTATGAATAACATTGTTCCTTTCATTCCCTAAGGTATGCAGTGGTAGATAAATTATTAAATACACATAGCATCCATTTTATGCTAGTTGTATGTATCAAAAAGTCCCCTAAAATATGATGTAAGATTATAAAGTATTTTACATCATCTAATAATAGGTATTCATTAAAATACGCACAATATTAATTAAATCAATATCTTTGAACGAAGTAAAAAGGATGCAAAAGACTTTTTCACTCGGGAAATATTAAAAATGTTGTGAAAAAAGTTTTCAATTGGTTATCGATCCCAGGGAGGCGGCGGCGCCCGCCTGTCTCTAGCTTTTGGCGCGATTTTCAGCATAACTTGGCGAGCGCTCGACGAAAAATGTTGATTACAAGTATACACTTGAGATATTACAGGAACTTCAAAATTAAAAATGTAAATACTTTCACTAATATTATGTAGCGTCAATAATAATAATTGGTTGCCTGATAACATTTCATTTTCAAGTTTCAAAGTGTCTGTGATTAATTAAATGAAATCCTTTTACTTTTCACGTGTGGCAAGTTTTGTGACGGCTTCTTTTTTTGTTTAATCATGTGTGTTAATTTATGTGTGGTTGTGTAGGTGTGGATCGTTTTATTGTTACTGGTTACATCTCGTCCAGTCTTGTTTTATTGTCTTGTCTTGCCTGTTTAATTCTGTACACTTTAAATTTTATTGTGGCATCGGTTCACGCGACCTGGCTCCCCGCCAAAAGTTTACAAAATGTCAATACGATGCATTATCACTGTTACTACCGTGCCGTTTCCATCTCCTGTCAATTCGTACATATTAATTAGTTAATTACTCGAAAATTGTGACAGAAAGTGTAAAAGAAAATTGTTGTGTAAATGCACCCTTTTAGGGTCGTTCAAAATTTTGATATTTTGACCTTTGGTTCGCGAACCTTGACATGTTTTGTGTGGTTATATTTGATCTGCTGATTGAAATGAAGAAGTTTAGTTAAGTGTTCATCTGTGATACCGGTGTTGCTTGCCAAAATTATTTGCGAAAGTAATGGAGTATGTTGTTGGTAAATCTCTGAATATCTTAGCTTATTTTTGTTGACCTATTTTGTTAAAGAGGTACTCAACTAAATCTGACTATTTCGTATTCAATTGATTTTCTAACAAGGAGTCTACAAGCGTGTTTTAGAATATGAACATGCTGTCCCTTCGATTATTATTACAATAACAATGTGGTCCATATCAGCCTGTACCTTTTTTAACAGCAATTTTGTGAATCATACACAGTTCCATTTTCCAAAAACAACATATTATTATCATCAGAATCTTATACATATATCTCTATTTTATATCGTGGATAGTTGAAGGCGTGATGAACAAACTCTTAGTCATTTTCACGTTTATTAGGATGAACAGAAAGCTTTTTACTAGCATGCTATTAGGATCTATTTCTGCTTCGGTTTAAAAATAGAAGATCCTGTGAAATTAGTTCGAATATAGTATTTCGTTACTGCATAAATTATTAAAAACTGTTTATTGCACGGTTACCGCAGTGTCCCGGGTACCCTACCACTCAAAACTACATTTTATACAAAGTTACATACACCTCACAGATATCCGACGTGAAACAATGCTTGCATTGTTACCGGAGGCCCAATTACCCGAATCTTCCTAATCCCCGAATCACCAACAATGGTCAAATTCCTAACTCCCAAAACGCTAGCAACTCACTTATAACGCCGCTGGTGGTTCGAGTGTCCATGAGGAGCGCCGATTGTTTATCATCAGGTGATCTATCAGCTCGTTTACCGACTTATCCCTATGTAAAAAAAACATTCCACAAATTCTTGGTTCGGGTCTGGTTGTGATATTTATGTGACGACGACACAGGAGAAAATCTGAGTATGGGGCAAGAAAAGAACATAAGGCGAACCAACACAATAGAAAACCTAGCTATTCTTAAATCCACTTAGTTATTCGCTAGGCCACAATGTGCTCCAAATCTAAAACATTTCTTGCATCCTTGACCTAGTGTACCGCTTTGTCGATGTAAAGGTATTGTCTACGCCACGTATCTATGTACATATACAGAATACTGAAATATTCATTCTTGTTTCCTTGTTGTCTATAAACTGAAATAAACACTTCTGGCCCGATTTGGAAAAAAATCGCCATTAGAATGCTTATACAATGCTAAAAATACCATAAAAAGTAACCTAGCTTAGAAATCTATGTTGCTTTTCGAAAATTTAATCTTCAACTCATACTGTGGCTAAAGGAGTTATAGCTTTATATCAGAGTCCATTTGTCTAATAAAGAAGTTTTGTTTGAAGTGGTTTTTAATACTTTTGTCAATATTCTAAAATAAAAATGACGCTTTTATAGCATCAGTTTTGAGGCGGTATCGTCGATGCTATCACGTCGTAATGAAGCGTACAAGAGTTACGTTTTTTTTTTCTTTTAAGGGGGGAAAATCATCGAGTAACTTCTCCCGCTATTCGAGTGAGGCGGGAGGGAGTGTCAGACTCTTACTGACTAAAAACCACCCCGTTCCTTCTGCACTTCGAGCCGGTGCCCCGGCCCCTTTAAGTTCTCCGCGGCTCCGTACAAGAGTTACGTTAGCGTTATGTTTAGAAAGACAAATACATTTTTGCATTAATAATTTTAGTAAAGATTCTTTATTATTTAATAACAAATGTGTACTGAAATGTACTGAGTGATATGTTGGTAAATAAAGTATTTAAGAGAGGTTTCGAATGGTTGGAAGTCGCGCGTGTTTGGTATGTAAAGCACGTGTTCGTTTGGCTCATTTCCTATACAATTATCTGAATAAATACTACTGCTATTTGGTCTCATAATAGCTACTTGAAGTTTTTGTAATACTTACGTAAATTCTTTAAAAAGCACACGTGTGTCATAGCTTTGGCTTTAAGCCTATGTAACAGCCCTGTAACACCATTATTCACTTTACGGTATGCAAATAAATGAATTGAAAAGAAAATGGTTTACGATTCAGTGAAAACGAGATCGCAAAACCCAAATAAGTCATTTACTCTTCAACAGTATACTAAATTCTTGTACTTCCCTGTAGCCACGCCAAGACACGCCCACGCCCACGTGCCCAGCGGTGAGCCCAGCCCTACCTGTAAGTTCAGTGACCACGATTCCAGTCGGTAAGAAAGCCGTCAAAATCAAGAAAAAAGTGAAGTCTGCCAAGTCCAAAGGTACCAAGATGAAGACTGGAAGTAACACCGACTGCTGCGGACTCGATTTGGACACTGAAGAGTAAGTTCCTTCTAAATTAGCTAATATAAGTCTTAAGTAGCTTTTAGATTGTAATTAATTAATAAAAACTATGTAAGATAAAAAATTAACTAACTCCCAATTTTGAAGTTAAGAAAGTAAGAGAAATAAATACACGTTTAATATCAAACCACCGTTACTATCAACTACCATTTTATTAAATAAACGTGATTAACTAGGGTTAAATTTTTTTTTTTTTTTTTTTTTTTTTT